ATATATGTATACATATATTTATTTTAATCTCCTTTGAGAGTGACGGGATGTACTTTAAGCGACCTTCCGCATTGTTTACGTTGCTATTGTGGAAGCGACCCGCCCATGTCGTTCGTATTTATTTCACGTTCACAGCTGTAGAACTTTAACAACTCCCAGCAAACGTGAGTGTAGCGTGTTGGTCAAGTGATAGTGACGCCTCGTATCCAAAGAGAGCCAAGAAGTTCAGAGGTGGAGATTATAAATCCCTGTGATGAGTGGAAGGGTTCCGACGCCATGTATCGGGCGACCTGGTGCCCACATCAACACTTCATTATGGACGCTGGACCGTATAATTACAACTGTGACCCATTATTAAATGCTTCCAAAGTGTTTACTATGAAAGACAGACATTCGATTTATATTTCAATTGCGAAATTGCCGAGTGTTTCGATTTATGATAAAAAATTCATCAGTTAAGTGATGATTAAACATAAGCATAAGCATAAGCATTGCCATTATTTTAGTACTTAAAGAAAGAGCATAGTGAGAGTTGAGCGGTGTTGAGCCAGCAACGGGTGGCTTGAGTACTATACAGCCTGGAGAACGTGAAGACGAGCACTGAGCCTGTACACAGAAGCAGCCTATCAATTTACTCAGCAATTGAAACCGCAAACAATCCTGTCTCAACACACACTGCTACATGTGGTAAGTACAGCTTTATGTGTGCTAAAACTGTATGCCAGTAGTTTTATTTTCTGTATTTTGGACATGGTTTAATAAAAGGAATTCGAGGAACATATCCCCGCATTATACATAAAAACATAAGATTAAATGAAACTAAATTTTACACTAATATTAAATTATTTACAATCCGTCCTTGCTAGTTCGTGCATAAATGTTTTGTATAAAATGCTGAAGACAGCCCTCAGTCTTCCTCAAAGCTGTGTACTCGCTGAAGACTCCTCAGTCTTCCTCAACGTTGTGTACTCGCTGAAGACTCCTCAGTCTTCCTCAATGTTGTGTACTCGCTGAAGACTCCTCAGTCTTCCTCAATGTTGTGTACTCGCTGAAGACTCCTCAGTCTTCCTCAATGATATGTACTCGCTAAAGTCAGTCCTCAGTCTTCCGCAATGTTGTATACTCGCTGAAGACTCCTCAGTCTTCCTCAATGATATGTACTCGCTAAAGTCAGTCCTCAGTCTTCCGCAATGTTGTGTACTCACTGAAGACTCCTCAGTCTTCCTCAATGTTGTGTACTCGCTGAAGAGTCTTGTCTTTCCACATATGGTCGTGTCTCATTATATTCTGATTTAACATTGATCAGTATATTGAGCAAATGTTTTGAGAGTCCATGTTCACTTGATTAGGCTTGACCTAGGCCTATACGAGTATTATGAACCCCTTGTTAACCCTCCATTTGCACATATATACAGAGATAAACGACTGTTTTAAGGCACATCCCACAGGTATTGAGAACTGCAGAGTGGCACTACACATATGACTCTTGTTCTGTAGATGTTGAGTCAAAGGGCGTACAGCTATGTATGTCATCCTTACTCGTATTTGCTAGAGGCTAATTATGACATTAGTTGTACAATTAATAAGATGTTTTGCATTCATTTACACGTGCTGGACAAGAATAATTAAATTTTGTATGTAATGTTCTTCACGAACGTAGATGTTGCAGGAGTTTGTGGGACTCACCTGTGTGAGGCAGTGAGGGTGGAGAGGATGAGGCAGTGACCGGGGTGAAGGTGTAAGTATCCCTGGGAGCGCTCACACTCTCCGCCAGGGACCACAACCTGCGCACACTACCTGCGCTCAGTTGTCTTCCTGCACCCGCCACATGCTTATACAAACACGTTCTCTGTAACGTTGCGCACTTCCACCTATGTAGTCAGACACATATACTATGGTACCTTTTTGTTATTGAAACGTAGAGAAGGTTATGGTGTTGTGAGGTTGTGGTGTTGTGAAGGTTGTGGTGTTGTGAGGATTGTGGTGTTGTGAGGGTTGTGTAGGTCTGTGTAGCACACAGTCCTACACCCACTGGATTATACCGCCACCAATATACCTAATCTGTTGAGCCCTGAGTGCCTGGTTTTACTTTCCCATTGTCTGGAACAGGAAGCCTAGTTGCTAGGCTTATCAAGGCCCACCTAGCCAATAACTGACCTTTCAGCGGATGTAACCCACAACAGTTGACCAATCGGGTGTGAGTTGAATGCACTAACTAGCGGGCTACAGCTTGCTCTTCTCCTTAAGTGTAATCCCAAACAAATTATCCACGTGTCTCATACCCGGAGAGGGTTTCTGGAGTTCTACTCCCCGAGCCCGGCCTGAGGCCAGGCTCGACTGGTGATAACTTGGTCCAACAGGTTTTTGCTTGGAGTGATCCGCAGGCCCGCACTTCTTGCAAGAACCTGTCCAAGTGCCTTCCGGCAATATTTCTAATGCTTGCTGGGAGGGTGTTGAACAGCTGTTGACCTCTGATGTTCAGACAGTGTTCTCTGATTGTGCCTATGGCACCTCTACTCTTCACTGGTTCTATTTTACATTTTCTTCTGTATCTTTCGCGCCAGTATGTTTATATTCTATTGTGCAAATTTGGGACCTGGCTCTCTAGTATCGTCCATGTATATATCATGTGATACCTTTTTCGTCTCCTTTCCAGAGAATACCATTTGAGAGCTTTGAGACGGTCCCAGTAATTTAGATGTTTTATCGTTTCTATGCGTATCGTACCGTATATGTTCTCTGTATTCCCTCTAAATCAGAGATCTCTTGCTCTGAAGGGGAAGTGAGTACCGAGCAGTACCTAAGACGGGACAGCACCAGTGACTTAAATAGTATTAGCACTGTTGTGGAGTCTTACTCTATAAAGTGTTGTCGTAAAGTGTTGCTCACTCTATAAAGTGTTGTCGTAAAGTGTTGCTCACTCTATAAAGTGCTGTCGTAAAGTGTTGCTCACTCTATAAAGTGCTGTCGTAAAGTGTTGCTCACTATAAAGTGTTGTCATAAAGTGTTGCTCACTATAAAGTGTTGTCGTAAAGTGTTGCTCACTCTATAAAGTGTTGTCGTAAAGTGTTACTCACTATAAAGTGTTGTCGTAAAGTGTTACTCACTATAAAGTGTTGTCGTAAAGTGTTGCTCACTCTATAAAGTGTTGTCGTAAAGTGTTGCTCACTCTATAAAGTGTTGGTTACTCCACACAATTGGATTTTCTTCAAGGAAAGTCCATATCAATGTCAGAATAATTTATTGAAAATGTGTTTATGATACAAGGTCAATTTCGCCAGGTTTATAAAGAAATAATACTGGTAGAATACTCATGATAACTTGTGGTTAGTACTTATTAAACACATAATGGTTCACGAGCTTCAACACATTGCTGGGTAGGAACACCTCTCCGTAGCCTGCCGCGAGGCTCTGGGTAGGCAACAGCAGTGTGTATAAATATGTATTAAATATATATATGGTTATGTATTAGCGAGGATGAAGCATTCTTATGTGTGTGTGTGATTAAAAGATTTGCCAGCATCTGTCGCGCTAGTTTGTTTTGAGGCATAAATTTATAACTAAGACATGTATACACACGCACGCACGCATGCATGCACGCATGCACGCACGCACGCACGCACGCACGCACGCACACACAACACACACCCAAACACACACACATACAAACAGCCCCAAGCCCCATGCCACACATACATACACACACACACACACACACACACACACACACACACACACACACACACACACACACGCACATACATACATGCACCCTCCTCACGCACATACAACCCTTCCCCCCCCCCCACACACACACAGATACACACATACTCCAAGTAATCATAAATATCAGAGAAAGAGGGCTGCATTAATTACCCACAAGACAGCAGACTGCATTGATTACACACACACACGATAGGAAAAACACTCTAAAATATTAAGTGCCTTCAATAACATGAAATATTTTGTAAACAATAAAGCTGGGGTCAGAGATGTTGAGGTGTGAAGGAGGGACCTCAGACGAGTTTATTATTATTAGCATCTTTATTGACAAAATTAATTACAATTTTGCCTAATCTGAGGATTTCGATTAAGTCTTATTAATTATTAAAGTGAGGATAATGCTAATCCTCAGACGAGTGAGCACACCAACAGATTCACGACCATGAGAGAGAAAGCTAAAGCTGTCAGCTAAAGCTTGAATGAACTAAACCAAAAATTAATCATCTTGAAGGCCCTTGTAGAAAAGACAGATCACTGTGTAATACCACTCGTGCGCCCTAGTAGAGGAAAGACTGAAGGAGATGGAGTGAAGGAAATATGTTCAGGAGTCTGGTCGCGGAAGGCATAACTAGGAAGCCACCAGACAACTTCTAGCAAGGATGACCTAAGATAAACTCAAGCTAGGCAAGATCAAACAAGCCATGATCGACTACTTCGGCCCGAGGTGTGCGGGGGCAGCTAACACATTTACTCTCACCCTAAAAAGTAAAAGATATGCAAAGTACAAATGAAATGATTTAAGCAGTATTGGTAGATATACAATGTATAGTGCTTAGGGTACACAGTAAGGAGAGCACGTAGTGGACAACCAGTCATGTATAGCCTCACAACACACACAGTCACAACATGGGGCAACACTGACGCCTCACAACACAACACACAGTCACAACACTGACGCCTCACAAGATACACAGTCACAACAGGACGCAACACTGACCTACACGAGGGGTAAACATTGAATGCATGATATTCTTGAGATAAATATTTATTATATAGCATATTCCCGAGAGCTCTCCGAGTTGGTGAGTGCCCTTAGCAACAGGTGGGGGGGTGGGGGTGGGGGAGGCAGGTGGGTGGGTGTGAGGGAGGCAGGAGGGTGGGAGTGGGGGAGGCAGGTGGGTGGGTGGAGGTGAGGGAGGCAGGTGGGTGGGGGTGGTGAGGGAGGCAGGTGGGTGGGGGTGGTGAGGGAGACAGGTGGGTGGGTGTGAGGGAGGCAGGTGGGGGTGGTGAGGGAGGCAGGTGGGTGGGTGGTGGTGAGGGAGGCAGGTGGGTGGGGGTGAGGGAGACAGGCAGGTGGGTGTGGGTGAGGGAAGGCCTAGTCGTAGAGAGGGACCCTGGTGGGCTTGTGCCTGCCGTTGTGTAGTACAGACGAGGTGGGGGCGAGGCTGGTGTCTGGGCGGAGGTCACCTGGGCGGGAGAGACACACCACGCGTCTGGTCAATCATCTCTACATAACTCCTCTCAGAATAATTGTATCAGTAATCATAATATATCACTTCTCTTATAACTCCTACTATTAGCACTCCTGCTAGTAGTAAAAGTAATAGTAGAACTAGTAGTAGGAGGAGTTTACGTGCTGTGGGTGAGTAGTGTCGTGCCATCATTCACTGGGGTAGCTAGCAACCCGTGCCCAAGCGGTTCATGCCATCCAGCGTCCCACCCCAAAGACACACAATTTAACATGCTGCTCATTCAAAATAGTAATGTATCAAATATAAATTAATATTATTATATATTAGCATTTTGTGTAGAGACAGATCTATGTAGACGTTAGGTTAGGTGTTTAGGTTCTGTTGGCGATTACTTGTATTTGAATTACGTATTAAAAACAGTTTTCTCTCATAGATGAATCATTATTGTTATATGTTGACCAGACCACACACTAGAATTTGAAGGGACGACGACGTTTCGGTCCGTCCTGGACCATTCTCAAGTCGATTCAATGCTCAGTTGAGTTGCTCAATCGACTTGAGAATGGTCCAGGACGGACCGAAACGTCGTCGTCCCTTCAAATTCTAGTGTGTGGTCTGGTCAACATACTTCAGCCACGTTATTGTGACTCATCGCCTGCATTATTGTTATATATTAAAGTTCTATGTGTAGTTAGGCGTAGGTTAGGTTAGGTGAAGTGTTTAGGCTCTGTTGGCGATTATTTGCATTTGTAGAACGCGGGTGAATCATTGAGATTCGAACACTAGAGGTCGCCAGCGAGCACTCTTCGAGAAATGTTCAAGTGCCGCCAGTTGTGAGTCGTGTGTAAACCGTTTTTATTCATAAATCTGCTCGTCCTCTTCAACAAAGGTCAAATACTCGTTAATCCAACCGCCAACCTCCCGCCCTCTTTGTGAATGAAAACGGTTTACATAAGATTCACAACTGATGATGTTCGAACATTTCTCGACGAGTGCTTCGCTGGCTACCTCTAGTGTTCGAATCTCAACTCTGTAAATGATTCACCACCGTACTTCAAAAATAAATAATCGCCAACAGAACCAAAACACCTAACCTAACATACGCCTAAATATGCACAATATGCGAGGCGTGGGGAGGAGTACTGGGGGGGGGGGAGGACTGTATGAGGAGGAGGAATACTGTTGGAGGGGGGAGTACTGTAGGAGGGAGGAGTACTGTAGGAGAGGGGAATACCGTAGAAAAGGGGAGTACTGTAGGAGGGAGGAGTACTGTAGGAGGGGGGAAGAGTACTGTAGGGGAGGGGGAATACTGTAGGAGGGGGGAGGAGTACTGCGGGACAGAGAGAAGTACTGCAAGAGGACGAGTGCTGGAGGAATATACTTACATGTTGCTGAGTTACTCAGCCACCCACTGAGTCAGCAATGGCATCAATGGGTTAACAGAGCTGAATGACGCCCCATTTGGGATGTGTGTTGACTCGAGAGGAACCGGTTCAAGATGTGCTAATTTTAGAGGACCTGGTTCACGCTGTGTTGACATGAACCGGTTACCGTAAGTGCCCTGGCTGGCGAGGGCACCAGTCAAGGACAAAGTTATATACTGCCCAACAACCCGACGTAATGGAACAATTTAGCAAAAGGGTCAGATTAAAGAGTATGAGAGGTGTATGCAGCAGTGTGCCTTACCTAACTCTGCTTGTATTACAGTGACTATGGAGAAGTGTGGTCTGGGTCTTTATGTGCTTAATGATCAGACCAGTGCTGATATGATGAGACCAGTGCTGATACGATCAGACCAGTGCTGATATGATGAGACCAGTGCTGATACGATCAGACCAGCGCTGATATGATCAGACCAGCGCTGATATGATCAGACCAGCGCTGATATGATCAGACAAGATCAAGTTACAGATCACTGTAACGTTGATATGATCAGACCAGCGCTGAAATGCTCAGACCTAGTTGGTGTACTGTTGTTTGTTTGTTTGTTTGTGTTTATGTTGACTTTCTTTAGTTAGTAAATATATGTGTGATGTGAACATCTGGGGTTCTAAAGTGTAAAGTTTTGTGTGCTAAATCAGTAATTAAATGTTCACTCATTATAACATTGTAGAAAGGGAAGAATTGTATGCAATGTAATCAGTAAAATGAGTGGATTAGTTAACCATGTAGCGTGCTTAGTTGCACTCTAATGGTCCATGCAATAGCAACGTCCATGCACCCACAGTCCACAGTCCACAGTCCATTCACTCACAGTCCACAGTCCATGCTCTCGTTTACAGTCCATGCAGGGGCAGCGTTAGAGGTCCAGTAATACACATTTGAACCCTTCAAGTACAAGCTGTAATCCTTAGAGTACACTGTATCCCTCAGATCTATGTAGTCACACTGGCTTAGCACACTTTCTCCTGGGAATTATCTTATGCTGTATCCTTTATAGTTCACACTGTAACTCTCAGAGCATACACTGTAACTCTCAGAGCATACACTGTAACTCTCAGAGCATACACTGTAACTCTCAGAGCATATACTGTAACTCTCAGGGCATATATTGTAACTCTCAGGGCATACACTGTAACTCTCAGAGCATACACTGTAACTCTCAGAGCATACACTAATTCTCAGAGCATACACTGTAACTCTCAGAGCATACACTGTAACTCTCAGATCATACACTGTAACTCTCAGATCATACACTGTAACTCTCAGAGCATACACTGTAACTCTCAGATCATACACTGTAACTCTCAGAGCATACACTGTAACTCTCACAGCATACACTAATTCTCAGAGCATACACTGTAACTCTCAGGGCATACACTGTAACTCTCAGGGCATACACTGTAACTCTCAGAGCATACACTGTAACTCTCAGGGCATACACTGAAACTCTCAGGGCATACACTAACTCTCAGAGCATACACTAACTCTCAGAGCATACACTGTAACTCTCAGAGCATACACTGTAACTCTCAGAGCATACACTGTAACTCTCAGAGCATACACTGTAATTCTCAGGGCATACACTGTAACTCTCAGAGCATACACTGTAACTCTCAGAGCATACACTAATTCTCAGAGCATACACTGTAACTCTCAGGGCATACACTGTAACTCTCAGGGCATACACTGTAACTCAGAGCATACACTGTAACTCTCAGAGCATACACTGTAACTCTCAGAGCATACACTGTAACTCTCAGAGCATACACTGTAATTCTCAGGGCATACACTGTAACTCTCAGAGTACACTTTGAAACCCTCCCTTTCCTTGTACAAACCAGATATGATTTGTTGACACTCTTCAAGTATTTTAAATGTGCATAATATTCACTCAGGGAAGGTGTTAAATAGGCACTCTTAGGCAACATGCTCCCTGAGGCACTCTTAGGCAACACGTTCCCTGAGGCACTTAGGCAACACGTTCCCTGAGGCACTCTTAGGCAACACGTCCCCTGAGGCACTCTTAGGCAACATGTTCCCTGAGGCACTCTTAGGCAACATGCTCCCTGAGGCACTCTTAGGCAACATGTTCCCTGAGGCACTCTTAGGCAACACGTCCCCTGAGGCACTCTTAGGCAACACGTTCCCTGAGGCACTCTTAGGCTACATGTTCCCTGAGGTCCTCTTAGGCAACATGTTCCCTGAGGCACTCTTAGGCAATATGTTCCCTGAGGCACTCTTAGGTAACATGTTCCCTGAGGCACTCTTAGGTAACACCTTCCCTGAGGCACTCTTAGGTAACACGTTCCCTGAGGCACTCTTAGGCAACATGTTCCCTGAGGCACTCTTAGGTAACACGTTCCCTGAGGCACTCTTAGGCAACATGTTCCCTGAGGCACTCTTAGGCAACATGTTCCCTGAGGCACTCTTAGGCAACACGTTCCCTGAGGCACTCTTAGGCAACATGTTCCCTGAGGCACTAGCCCAGTAGACCATCAACCAGGGAGAGTAACACAGCCCAGTAGACCATCAACCAGGGAGAGTAACACAGCCCAGTAGACCATCAACCAGGGAGAGTAACACAGCCCAGTAGACCATCAACCAGGGAGAGTAACACAGCCCAGTAGACCATCAGCCAGGGAGAGTAACACAGCCCAGTAGACCATCAACCAGGGAGAGTAACACAGCCCAGTAGACCATCAGCCAGGGAGAGTAACACAGCCCAGTAGACCATCAACCAGGGAGAGTAACACAGCCCAGTAGACCATCAACCAGGGAGAGTAACACAGCCCAGTAGACCATCAGCCAGGGAGAGTAACACAGCCCAGTAGACCATCAACCAGGGAGAGTAACTCAGCCCAGTAGACCATCAACCAGGGAGAGTAACACAGCCCAGTAGACCATCAACCAGGGAGAGTAACACAGCCCAGTAGACCATCAGCCAGGGAGAGTAACACAGCCCAGTAGACCATCAACCAGGGAGGTCTAAACAGTGTCGTGGCCGTCACTATATAACGCCTGTTAATAACAAAATACAGACAAGCTGATGGTGATTGTAAAATACAATTAACTTTTAGCTACATTCAATGGGAAAAACGTTTGCTAATGAACAATCATGAAATATAAATTATATTTTAATGAATAATGCAGAGAAGACAGTGCATGTGAGTGGATGCAGACGCCGTGAGTGGTGAGGACTCTCCGAGGAGCGTATTAGAGGCAGGCAGGTGAGGCAGGTGAGGCAGGTGAGGCAGGAGGAGGCAGGTACTAGTGATGGGGTTTAGGCCAGAGAGGTGGTGGGCAGCTAGGCCGGGGTACCTTCTCTACGTCCATGGCTGGCCACGAAGCCGCTTCTGGCCTCCAGCCTCTCACAGCTGGAAGGGAAAAGTCACATTATAATATATTTATGGAATCTTAAATTAAACGTTTTTATAAATAAAAATAAATCACTTATTTGTTTAATTAACTTTATTTTCTAGTAAGCAAAAGTAATAAAATGGACGCGATTCCTTGTGGATGATTTTGATAAGTCTATTAAGAGAATAATTTGGAAGAATGCGGTGACTTGAACCAGCATTCTAGTGGCTCCTAGATGCTTGCCTTAACCAACTCTCCCATGATAGGACAAAAGCTATCCAACCTGGAACTCTACTGAATTTACTGGAAAGGTCTGGAGGGCCCAAATGGCGCCACAACCAGTATTTTTATGAATACTGTGGTTAAAAAAATCACAGGTGATATAGGTGGGGCGTATGGAGAAAAACACCCTTACCCACAGGCCAGAATGTGGGCAGGCTATTCGTAAAAAAATGCCAGATTGTGGCACCCGTTGGGGCTTCTAAACCTACCCAGTGGAATCAATAGAGTTTCAGATTGAATAGCTTTTGTCCTGGCATGGGCGAGTTGGTTAAACGTATACACCTGACTGCACGTATGCCTATCTGTAAGGGTGCCAATTTTGGAGGAAATTGGTTGATGTCAACTTCAGCCACAGAGGGCAACACCTTAGACTTTATTTTTTACTTACTTGAAAGTTTATGTTACTTGAAAATGAATATCTTTTTCATTTTTTATGCAATTTACATGAAACTTACACATTATATATAAATTTTATGTCTCTAAAATCGTTTGCAAGTGGTTTTATCTTGAGTTCTTTATTGACTTTATAATAGCAATAAACATGATATATTTGCATAATTTTGGGGGGGAACTTAGACTATTTGTATTAAGAAAACTAAAGACGTTTTGGAAAATCTTTTGATAGAGATCCTTTATTATATGTTAATGTGTCAGAAAAGTGTCATAGAATGATTATATCTGAAAGGTGTGGTTGTAAATTTACACTTGAAAATGTGTAAAATTCGTTGAAGAAAATAAAAAAATTAAAAATCTCCCTTACTATTTAGGCTACAGTGCTGAAACTTCGAACAATTGTAGCCCTTTTCATATACAACTAGTCAAAAATAATGGTTGACACTAAACAACAACTTTATGATACCCGAATAACGCCCCCTTAAGGCAAGCATCTGGGAGCCACTAGAACGCTGGTTCGAGTCACTGCATTCCTCCAAATGATTTTCTCACTGATATATCATGCCATTGTGATATCTTTATGTGTTGATAAGTCTTCTCTTATCGCAGTCAGGCCTAAGGTCAGCCTTCCCCTGGTGATTGCCTGCTCTGTGAGGCTGTTTGTCTTCGTAGCAATCAGGACCACTTAGCCAACACAGATAAGCTGATCTGCTAACCAGCTAAGTTAGCTGATTAGCAGATCAACTAACTTGATCAGCCAACTTGCCATGTTTCTAAAACAGAAACATGTCAACTTTCTTCCTCAAACCATCTAGTGTTGTTCGAGTGACATTTCTTATATATGTTTTCAGTAGATTGGAGAGTCGTCGGCCTCTGAGTTTTACATTGTGTTCTCTATCTGTATTTATGGCACCTAGACTTTTCCTTTGATTTATTTTACACATCTACCATATCTCTCACCCCAGAATGTTGTAATTTAATTTCACAGGTTTGAAACTACCCTTCATATTTTCCATGTGGATAATATGAAATATCTCTCGCCTCCGTTCCAAGGAGTACATTTGGGGGTCCATTCGGGTGGTACCCAGAAGTTTAAGTACTCAACTGATTTCTATGTTGGCGCAAAATGATCTCTGAATGTACTCCGTTCTTCCTCTGCCATCTTGGCAGCCTTGAAAGGGCATACACTGTAACTCTCAGAGCATACACTGTAACTCTCAGAGCATACACTGTAACTCTCAGAGCATACACTGTAACTCTCAGAGCATACACTGTAACTCTCAGAGCATACACTGTAACTCTCAGAGCATACACTGTAACTCTCAGAGCTTGGCCTGACTTGAGGCCTGGTGTGTCCATACCTGCATTGGTTTGTAATATTTGCTTCGTTGTGTTCTCTGAACTACACCGCCTGACATTATTATTTTCCAATGTTTGACTTAGTGACTCTTTTCTATGGGAAGATGTGGCTGAGTGTTTTTTGTCCATTACTTAGTTTAAGATTTTATGTTTTTCATGCACTGAAGTAATTTAAATCTGTCATTGATACCGATTGTAAGATCTTTTTGATAACCGATTTGTATTGTTTTGTTCTTCCGTCTAAGCAATTTCCATACTTATTTTGGTGTCGTCAATAAACTCTAACAAAAGTGTGGGATGTATACCTGTGTGAGGACGAGAACAAGTGACGGAGTGAGGGCCAGGCATTGTGGCACACAGCGACGCCATATTCAGGTTGTATTTTGTTGGATTTATTGCAACACGTTGTATTACTTGTGTTACAAAATTTTAAAACCAGTTCCCTGCTTTACCTGTCATTTCTTTACCTGTCTTGTTACGTACTATTACTTAATTTATCAAATGCTTTTGCAGCATCTAAGTATATGACATTGCATATTAGTTTGTTTCTACTGACTCTATATTTCTTTCCTAATAATGAAGTAATTTCTCTAAAATCACGTTCCCTTGTGTGTAACTCATTATGTTCCATAAAACTGGAATGTTATCTTCTTATCATCCTCTCATAAACCTTAATGGTGTTAAGTACAGCTAAACATCACATGTTAGTGCTGCTGGTCTACAACTTGTGCGAATGCTTTACTACCTCCCTTGTGTAGTGGGGCGATGGGTGCTGTTATTAGGGACTGCTGGATGTCTCTTGTCTCCAGGCTCCCTTGCCATATGCAGACGAGGAGTCACAAGTGGCTGAAAAATGTTGACCTGACCACACACACTAGAAAGTGAAGAGACGACGACGTTTCGGTCCGTCCTGGACCATTCTCAAGTCGATTGTCCGGGATAATGGTCTAGGATGGACGGAAACGTCGTCGTCTCTTCACTTTCTAGTGTGTGGTTTGGTTAACACTTCCTTGCCATATTATACTCAGCGTCCGTGCCAGCAGTAAGGACTAAACACATGTTGTGTACGGCCTTGTGGAAGACTGTGGATTTTCTTCTATTATCTGACATATGCCTTTCAGTGATGGTCGAGTGTATGAGAAGTTACAGTATTATCTACTTTCATTGTGTCAGTGGCATTACTAAACATTTATTCATATTATTCGTTTAGGAATTCGTTTTGTTGTCATGTGTGTACGTATCACCTCATGTAAGTAAGAGGTCTATATGTGCAGAGGTACGTGTTAGCTCTTTGTATATGTGATGATATATTTTGGGGTTTTGCTGATTTCTTGGGCAAATTCCTGTTATTATGTTATTATGTTATTATGTGGGTGTGAGTGTGAGCGGAGGACTCACCTGCAGGAGACGGGGGAGAAGTACTCGCCGCTGCTACACTCCTGGGGCTTGCGGCAGTAGCAGTTGCAGGTTTGGTTGTCCCAGTACTTGGTCGAGTTCTGCTCCTCACACTTGGTCTTCTCGTCACTGTGGAAGATCACCACACATGTCTTAAATACTCCACTCTGTGTGTGTGTGTGTGTGTGTGTGTGTGTGTGTGTGTGTGTGTGTGTGTGTGTGTGTGTGTGTGTGTGTGTGTGTGGGTGTGGGTGTGTGTGTATATGTATGTGTGTGTGTGTGGATGTGTAAACCTCAGTGATATGCAGTTTACGTGTGCTGTTGAAGATGTAACCATGTACTGGAACATTTTATCTTACACTTCGAAAACCTGGAAGAGTAAGCATGTAATATGCATGCAATGCTGAGATTTATAGAAATCATAAAACGATTGTAGACCACGTGACTGATGCTCGATTTCGACGTCTTGAAGACTCGCTAACACAATACATGACAATTGCAAGTTCTTGCGGACTCAGGGACAGGACAGGTGTCCCTGAGACAGCCAGGTGTATGATAAGCAAATAGTCTAACCTACCCAGGCCTCAGAACCTGATCGTGGAGATGCGCTACTAGTCTATATGACATGAATATGTTCTAGCTGCCTAACACAAAGGGTTTATAACTGGTATTAGTTCTTATAGACTCAGTAGAATGGTCCTAGTACTTGTAGATGGGTATTGGACTAGTACTTGTAGATGGGTATTGGACTAGTACCTGTAGATGGGTATTGGTCTAGTACCTGTAGATGGGTATTGGACTAGTACCTGTAGATGGGTATTGGACTAGTACTTGTAGATGGGTATTGGACTAGTACTTGTAGATGGGTATTGGACTAGTACTTGTAGATGGGTATTGGACTAGTACTTGTAGATGGGTATTGGACTAGTACCTGTAGATGGGTATTGGACTAGTACTTGTAGATGGGTATTGGACTAGTACCTGTAGATGGGTATTGGACTAGTACTTGTAGATGGGTATTGGACTAGTACTTGTAGATGGGTATTGGACTAGTACTTGTAGATGGGTATTGGACTAGTACCTGTAGATGGGTATTGGACTAGTACTTGTAGATGGGTATTGGACTAGTACCTGTAGATGGGTATTGGACTAGTACTTGTAGATGGGTATTGGACTAGTACCTGTAGATGGGTATTGGACTAGTACTTGTAGATGGGTATTGGACTAGTACCTGTAGATGGGTATTGGACTAGTACTTGTAGATGGGTATTGAACTAGTACTTGTAGATGGGTATTGGACTAGTACTTGGGGTTTAAGAAAAGAGTATCGGGCTGGTACTGGTAAACACAAAGGAAGAGCAGTGGCGCAGTACGTCGTAGAGTGAAGGGAAGGGGGTTTTGGTTTCGGTTTTAAGGCCCTAGAGTAGGCAAGCAGGGGATTGAAGACAGGGGCGAGGATGCAGAAATCTTGAGCAAGGAACTGGAGACGAGGTGAAGAGGGGAGATGAAAGATCGGTGGGCCAACCACCGTTGGGCCAGGGGGTTAATAGAGAAGCATATAGAACCAGTACCTGTTGGTACAGACGCAGGCACACTCCCCCTCGAAGTAAGTGTGGATTTTGGGGTCGCAGTCCGTCTCCTGCACCTTACAGCCGCACGAACACTCGGTGTGCTTGTAGGCCTCCACCACGTGGTAACTCACTTCGTTCTGGCGACGTTGCCTGCGTCGTCTCAACGGCTCCGAGGCGACCAGCGACGTCTTCAACACCTGAGGAATCATCGCCATCAGCCTGAGGCAACATCATCATCACTCCTTATTCAGAATGGAGATGATTTAGGTTCATCCAGAGCAATATTACTAACAATGTTTATTTTACTGATCAGTTAGTAAACTGAGTAAGTTTAACCTAAACTTACTGTTTAACCTAAATATGTTGTTTGTCCTTATCAGTCGATCCTAGCAGTAACTAAACTTGTCGACCATAACAGTGACTGAACTTGTCGATCCTAGCAGTGACTGACCTTGTCGACCCTAGCAGTGACTGACCTTGTCGACCCTAGCAGTGACTGGTCGAGCGTAGCAGTGACTGGTCGAGCGTAGCAGTGACTGGTCGAGCGTAGCAGTGACTGACCTTGTTGGCCGTAGCAGTGACTGACCTTGTTGGCCGTAGCAGTGACTGACCTTGTTGGCCGTAGCAGTGACTGACCTTGTTGGCCGTAGCAGTGACTGACCTTGTCGACTCTAGCAGTAACTAACCTTGTCGAGCGTAGCAGTGCCTGGTCGACCGTAGCAGTGACTGGTCGAGCGTAGCAGTGACTGACCTTGTCGAGCGTAGCAGTGACTGGTCGAGCGTAGCAGTGACTGGTCGAGCGTAGCAGTGACTGACCTTGTACTTGACAAGCTTGGTGACGGTGGGGCGGCAGGTGAGGAGGGGCCCGTAGCAGCAGCCCCCACACTGCTCCAGCCTCACGCAGGTCGGGAAGAACAAGGTGCTCGGCTCCACCGGCAGGTCCAGCGCCACCGTCGTCAGCTCCGGCTTGCAGTTGGCCATCACAGCGTCCTCGGCCGGTATCTCTGAGGGGGTGCAGGTGTGGCCGTCAGGTGTGGTGGTGGTGGTGGGTATGTGGTGGGTGTGTGGTGGGTGTGTGGTGGTGGTGAGGGGTGTGGTGGTGGTGAATGGTATTGTAGTGGTGGTGAAGAGTGTGTGGTGGTAATGGGTGTGTACTCACCAAGTTGTACTCACCTTGTTTTGCATAAACGATAGCTATATTACCTATTGATTGAATGAAGAACAACGTTTGTTACATTTGGGAGTGTTATTTAATGCCTGAAGATGTCTTAGAGAACAACTTTGATGTCTTAGAGAACAACTTTGATGAACGAAGTTGAGTTAGAGAACAATCTTTTATGCACGAAGATGAGTAAGAGAATAACTTTTGATGACTGAGAATAACTTCTGATGACTGAGAATAACTTCTGATGACTCTGAGAATAACTTTTGATGACGTGAGTAGTATTTTGACGTCTTTGAGTGTGTCTTTGATGTCTGAGTGTGTTATTGATGTTTTGAGTGTGTCTTTGATGTCTGAGTGTGTTATTGATGTTTTGAGTGTGGTGAACCCAGTGAACATGCGGGGAATATGACAAAGAACACAGAGAATATGAACGAGAATGAACACTGAACTTGTGAAGAACATTCTGAGAACATGGTGAATATTACAAAGAACACAGAGAACATGTAAGAGAAGGTTATGAACTTGTGAAGAACATTCTGAGAACATGGTGAATATTACAAAGAACACAGAGAACATGTAAGAGAAGGTTATGAACTTGTGAAGAACATTCTGAGAACATGGTGAATATTACAAAGAACACAGAGAACATGTAAGAGAAGGTTATAAACTTGTGAAGAACATTCTGAGAACATGGTGAATATTACAAAGAACACAGAGAACATGTAAGAGAAGGTTATGAACTTGTGAAGAACATGCTACGAACATTATGCGACTATGAACAAAGATCACAGAAAAATGAAGAAAAATATGATTTGAAGTTGCAAAGAACATGAATAATGAGTATAAAAGTTGTGCAGAGAACATGCTGGTCTGAAAATGGTCTCTGGAGAAATTCGGTCTTCAAATGGCCTCTGAATAATTTAGGTCTTTTACTGGTGAAACAGCAGTAAGATGGATATAAGACTAAAACTTACTGCTAAGATGTCTATTTTTCCTTAACAAACTTCCATGGACATATTTTCTGAAAATGGTCTTTTTGAATAATTTCGGTCTTAAACTCTTTAAGAAACTTCTATGAATATATGAACTGAAATATTTTTTTATAAAACTGAACTCTGACTTTTTTTTAATTTCTTCCATAATTCAAAAATTATGGCAGATTCGTTTAATATTTTAAGAACTAATGAGTGATTATATATATATATATATATATATATATATATATACTATGTTGTATACTTCACTCTCGTGTTTAAGAGAGTTGTGCCTTAAGCATAGACACTGTGTCTTCCCATATTAACAGGGACTTGATGAAATAAACGTATAAATGACCCCTCACTTGCTCTAGTGCTCTTGGGAGGTGTTGATCTTTTAAATACTCGATTTAAATACTCCGAAATTACCATCTCTTTTAAGGGTCTGAGCAGGTGGTGGAGCGGGTTAAGGCGTACCTGTTATGCCAGTTGCTGGAAGGCTTCTGTGCTGGCTAGGGTTCGAGTCTCCTGGTGGGAAAGTGTTCTAAAGTTGTATACTTCATTCTCGTGTTTAAGAGAGTTGTGCCTTAAGCATAGACACTGTGTCTTCCCATATTAACAGGGACTTGATGAAATAAACGTATAAATGACCCTCACTTGCTCTAGTGCTCTTGGGAGGTGTTGATCTTTGGGGTATTTAAATACTCCGAAATTACCATCTCTTTTAAGGGTCTGAGCAGGTGGTGGAGCGGGTTAAGGCGTACCTGTTATGCCAGTTGCTGGAAGGCTTCTGTGCTGGCTAGGGTTCGAGTCTCCTGGTGGGAAAGTGTTCTAAAGTTGTATATATATATATATATATATATATATATATATATATATATATATATATATATATATATATATATATATGCGAACAAGCCTGAATGGTCCCTAGGACTATATGCAACTGAAAACTCACACCCCAGAGTGACTCGAACCCATACTGCCAGGAGCAACGCAACTGGTATGTACAGGATGCCTTAATCGTCCTGTAATTAAAACGCCTTAATTAAGGCGTCCTGTATATACCAGTTGCGTTGCTCCTGGCAGTATGGGTTCGAGTCACTTCTGGGGTGACTCGAAACCCTGCTCCTTCATTCATGCTGATGAATGAAGGAGCAGTTAGGTACAAGTTATGAGGAAGGACATGAGTGAGACTCACCTCCGCTGTTACCGAACCTGGTGGTGATGGAGGGCTTCTCCTCTTCCTTGTCCTTGGGTTTGGAGAGGTTGAACATGGCCATGAAGTCATTGATGTCCGAGACGGCGTTCAGGCGGTGTAGGTTCTCAATGTCCAGCTGTCGGGAGAGAAAGTAGAGGTAATGGTGGTTCCTGAGTGGTAATGTTGGTTCCTGAGTGGTGGTAATGTTGGTTCCTGAGTGGTGGTAATATTGGTTCCTGAGTGGTGGTAATGTTGGTTCCTGAGTGGTGGTAATGTTGGTTCCTGAGTGGTGGTAATGTTGGTTCCTGAGTGGTGGTAATGTTGGTTCCTGAGTGGTGGTAGTGATGGTTCCTGAGTGGTGGTAATGTTGGTTCCTGAGTGGTGGTAATGTTGGTTCCTGAGTGGTGGTAATGTTGGTTCCTGAGTGGTGGTAATGTTGGTTCCTGAGTGGTGGTAATGTTGGTTCCTGAGTGGTGGTAATGTTGGTTCCTGAGTGGTGGTAATGTTGGTTCCTGAGTGGTGGTAATGTTGGTTCCTGAGTGGTGATAGTGATGGTTCCTGAGTGGTGGTAATGTTGGTTCCTGAGTGGTGGTAATGTTGGTTCCTGAGTGGTGGTAATGTTGGTTCCTGAGTGGTGGTAATGTTGGTTCCTGAGTGGTGGTAATGTTGGTTCCTGAGTGGTGGTAATGTTGGTTCCTGAGTGGTGGTAATGTTAGTTCCTGAGTGGTGGTAATGTTAGTTCCTGAGTGGTGGTAATGTTAGTTCCTGAGTGGTGGTAGTGATGGTTCCTGAGTGGTGGTAGTGATGGTTCCTGAGTGGTGGTAATGTTGGTTCCTGAGTGGTGGTAATGTTGGTTCCTGAGTGGTGGTAATGGTGGTTCCTGAGTGGTGGTAATGTTGGTTCCTTAGTGGTAATGTTGGTTCCTGAGTGGTGGTAATGTTGGTTCCTGAGTGGTGGTAATGTTGGTTCCTTAGTGGTAATGTTGGTTCCTGAGTGGTAATGGTGGTTCCTGAGTGGTAATGTTGGTTCCTGAGTGGTAATGTTGGTTCCTGAGTGGTGGTAATGTTGGTTCCTGAGTGGTGGTAATGTTGGTTCCTGAGTGGTGGTAATGTTGGTTCCTGAGTGGTAATGTTGGTTCCTGAGTGGTAATGGTGGTTCCTTAGTGGTAATGTTGGTTCCTGAGTGGTAATGGTGGTTCCTGAGTGGTAATGTTGGTTCCTGAGTGGTAATGTTGGTTCCTGAGTGGTGGTAATGGTGGTTCCTGAGTGGTGGTAATGTTGGTTCCTGAGTGGTGGTAATGTTGGTTCCTGAGTGGTAATGTTGGTTCCTGAGTGGTGGTAATGTTGGTTCCTTAGTGGTAATGTTGGTTCCTGAGTGGTAATGGTGGTTCCTGAGTGGTAATGGTGGTTCCTGAGTGGTAATGGTGGTTCCTGAGTGGTAATGTTGGTTCCTGAGTGGTAATGTTGGTTCTTGAGTGGTAATGTTGGTTCCTTAGTGGTAATGTTGGTTCCTGAGTGGTGGTAATGTTGGTTCCTGAGTGGTAATGTTGGTTCTTGAGTGGTAATGGTGGTTCCTTAGTGGTAATGTTGGTTCCTGAGTGGTGGTAATGTTGGTTCCTGAGTGGTGGTAATGTTGGTTCCTGAGTGGTGGTAATGTTGGTTCCTGAGTGGTGGTAATGTTGGTTCCTGAGTGGTGGTAATGTTGGTGCCTGAGTGGTGGTAGTGATGGTTCCTGAGTGGTGGTAATGTTGGTTCCTGAGTGGTGGTAATGTTGGTTCCTGAGTGGTGGTAATGTTGGTTCCTGAGTGGTGGTAGTGATTGTTCCTGAGTGGTGGTAGTGATGGTTCCTGAGTGGTGGTAGTGATGGTTCCTGAGTGGTGGTAGTGATGGTTCCTGAGTGGTGGTAATGTTGGTTCCTGAGTGGTGGTAATGTTGGTTCCTGAGTGGTGGTAATGTTGGTTCCTGAGTGGTAATGTTGGTTCCTGAGTGGTGGTAATGTTGGTTCCTGAGTGGTGGTAATGTTGGTTCCTGAGTGGTGGTAATGTTGGTTCCTGAGTGGTGGTAATGTTGGTTCCTGAGTGGTGGTAATGTTGGTTCCTGAGTGGTGGTAGTGATGGTTCCTGAGTGGTGGTAATGTTGGTTCCTGAGTGGTGGTAATGTTGGTTCCTGAGTGGTGGTAATGTTGGTTCCTGAGTGGTGGTAGTGATTGTTCCTGAGTGGTGGTAATGGTGGTTCCTGAGTGGTGGTAATGGTGGTTCCTGAGTGGTGGTAATGTTGGTTCCTGAGTGGTGGTAGTGATGATTTCTGAGTGACACTCATTGTGATATGAAGTGTAAAAAATGGTTCTGTCAGTGGGTGAAAAAATATTTGATTTAGTTGGCATTTTGTTTTGTAAATACTAGTTACAGAATCAAAGGTGACGGAAGTGTCAGCAGTGGTGTCAGGAGCCAGCAAAACAAGTGTCAGCAGTGGTGTCAGGAGCCAGCAAAACAAGTGTCAGCAGTGGTGTCAGGAGCCAGCAAAACAAGTGTCAGCAGTGGTGTCAGGAGCCAGCAAAACAAGTGTCAGCAGTGGTGTCAGGAGCCAGCAAAACAAGTGTCAGCAGTGGTGTCAGGAGCCAGCAAAACAAGTGTCAGCAGTGGTGTCAGGAGCCAGCAAAACAAGTGTCAGCAGTGGTGTCAGGAGCTAGCAAAACAAGTGTCAGCAGTGGTGTCAGGAGGGTCCAGTGATGATCATATACAGGTAATAAGATTGAGACGCTTATCGTTGAGGAAGGATATGTTAAAGTGCCTGGGAGCCTTAAGCTGAGGAGGGCCCGTACCTCAAGGCCCGTACCTCAAGGCCCGTACCTCAAGGCCCGTACCTCAAGGTCCGTACCTCAAGGCCCGTACCTCAAGGCCCGTACCTCAAGGCCCGTACCTCAGGGCCCGTACCTCAAGGCCCGTACCTCAAGGCCCGTACCTCAAGGCCCGTACCTCAAGGCCCGTACCTCAAGGCCCGTACCTCAAGGCCCGTACCTCAAGGTTCGTACCTCAGGGCCCGTACCTCAAGGCCCGTACCTCAAGGCCCGTACCTCAAGGCCCGTACCTCAAGGTTCGTACCTCAGGGCCCGTACCTCAAGGCCTGTACCTCAGGGCCCGTACCTCAAGGCCCGTACCTCAAGGCCCGTACCTCAAGGCCCGTACCTCAAGGTCCGTACCTCAAGGCCCGTACCTCAAGGCCCGTACCTCAAGGGCCGTCACACACCTGCCCTTGCTACTGTCTATGGTGCACCTAGGAAAGGAATCGTTACACAAGCAGAGACTGTACAGTGTCTGTCAGCTGGTCCTCCAAGGCAGAGTGGAGTGCACACCAGTTGCTCCATCTATCATCATTCTGTTATGCAGGGAGAACCGCACGTCTATGGGTCATCCAATAATGTTAGCAGACTTCTAGATGTTACCACTGCTAGGCTTAGGCTCGGCTACAAGTACCTCTGGCAGTTTGTAACATCTGCTGATGTAGATCTGACTAAATGTAAACTCTGTCAACAGAACTATTCGCATACTTTGCGTCATTATATAATGGAATGTGATAACATCGCGGAATTCAGAGATAACATCATCAATGTAGTCCAAGAAATGTGTAAGTACTTCATTCATAATGATGTACTGCCAGGAATCTTAGCGAAGTATCCAACATTTGCTTACTGTAGGTGCAGCTGCCGCCCAGTTGGGTAGGTGTGGAGCACATGCCTGTAAAGCTGCCGCTCAGTTGGGTGGGTGTGGAGCACATGACTGTAAAGCTGCCGCTCAGTTGGGTGGGTGTGGAGCACATGACTGTAAAGCTGCCGCTCAGTTGGGTGGGTGTGGAGCACATGACTGTAAAGCTGCCGCCCAGTTGGGTGGGTGTGGAGCACATGACTGTAAAGCTGCCGCCCAGTTGGGTGGGTGTGGAGCACATGACTGTAAAGCTGCCGCCCAGTTGGGTGGGTGTGGAGCACATGACTGTAAAGCTGCCGCCCAGTTGGGTGGGTGTGGAGCACATGACTGTAAAGCTGCCGCTCAGTTGGGTGGGTGTGGAGCACATGACTGTAAAGCTGCCGCCCAGTTGGGTGGGTGTGGAGCACATGACTGTAAAGCTGCCGCCCAGTTGGGTGGTTGTGGAGCACATGACTGTAAAGCTGCCGCCCAGTTGGGTGGGTGTGGAGCACATGACTGTAAAGCTGCAGCCCAGTTGGGTGGGTGTGGAGCACATGACTGTAAAGCTGCCGTCCAGTTGGGTGGGTGTGGAGCACATGACTGTAAAGCTGCCGCCCAGTTGGGTGGGTGTGGAGCACATGACTGTAAAGCTGCCGCCCAGTTGGGTGGGTGTGGAGCACATGACTGTAAAGCTGCCGCCCAGTTGGGTGGGTGTGGAGCACATGACCGTAAAGCTGCCGCCCAGTTGGGTGGGTGTGGAGCACTTGACTGTAAAGCTGCCGCCCAGTTGGGTGGGTGTGGAGCACTTGACTGTAAAGCTGCCGCCCAGTTGGGTGGGTGTGGAGCACATGACTGTAAAGCTGCCGCCCAGTTGGGTGGGTGTGGAGCACATGACTGTAAAGCTGCCGCCCAGTTGGGTGGGTGTGGAGCACATGACTGTAAAGCTGCCGCCCAGTTGGGTGGGTGTGGAGCAAGACTAGTAACTGTGTGACTCACCATAGATGTAAAGTGCCTTGTATAATAACTGCTGTGAGCCTCTTGTTGAATCATTGTCATATAAACAGATTATTGATATGTTTATGTGTTTGCATAAATAATTGTACATATATGTACATGTATATGTAACATTAACAATTGTGTAACCAGCTCCACAAGATTGTCACTTGCTTAGCTAAACGAACTCTGGGGTTCAGTTAATGAACCCATTATGTGCCTCTGTAACCCTTCCCACCACCTCCCACGGCATGGGTATGGGGTGCATAAGAAAGAGTTGAATTGGTGCCCAAGAGCCCTGGCCTTATAAGTGGGTGGAGTGGCACTCACTTGACCCGCTTGCCCTTGTTACGTCGCTGGGGCAGAGCCTTGTGCCTGCGTGTCCCACTTGGTCCACTCTGGCTTCCTTCATCCTTAATACGACACTCTCATGTATATTATTATATATATATAGCCCGGTCACT